CAATAGGGCATCTTTGGGATGTGGTGGAACGGGAGCTTCGTGCCCTGGATGTGCATCCCACAAATCTCCATCAACTGCAAGATGCTATCCAATCAATATGGGCCAACATTTCTAAAGAATGCTTTCAGCACCTTGTTGAATCAATTCCACGTAGAATTAAGGCAGTTTGGAAGTTGAAAGGGGGTCAAACACAGTATTAGTATGGTTTTCCAAATAATCCTCTAGGTGAGTGTAGGAACTGCTGTGTTGCGCAGTGAGAACCGTTGGGTGATGCGGTCATAGCCGTGTTTCATCATGAATAAAGCACAGCTATTGACCAGTCAGAATCAAGGATTGGAACTAACCATTTTATTAAGACTAATATCATGACCATTTTACCTTTCTCTGGCCCATAATTTTGCTAATGTGCCTTCTATGTAAACACCCTTTATATGAGTGTGTGTGTATGTTGAGAGAGAGGGAGAGAGAGAGAGACAGAGAGAGAAATAGAGAGAGAGAGATTCAACATTGGGGATCACCTCACGTAGTTATTATAAAGTGTCACATGAGAGTATAGTTCTGAACTTCTGGCTATATTCTGTGAAGGAGAACATCTGTCTTTCACGGTGTTTCAGAGACCAGGCGTGTCGACACGTCCCTGCCTGATCATAACAGCTTCACCAATTAAGTCCATAGAACATTGAATATTGATGAATTCATTCTTCAGTTTTTCACATTTCACCACAGAGGAGTTACATCATACTCAATATGATACAAGGAGCCTACCCTTGCAGATCGGTTCTGCACAAGTTCAGCAAAGTCATATTCTCAAGAATCTAAAGCACGAGTACATAAGACAGTTTTGCTTACACCACACTAGCACTATAATTGCTGCAGTGCCCCTGAGTTATAACTGCAACGGTGCAGATAAGCAACTGAATCGAGCTGCTGGTTCTATAACAATCACTCTCAAAGCAAGCAATATCTTCCTCTGACATTTTCTCCATTTGGGCTAATACAAGACTCTTAGACAACTCTTAACAGCAATTTCCTTGTTGTTACGTTTCCTATGGAAGTGCCATTAAGGCAGTCGAAGTTGATAATATCTAAATAGTGACTTGGATGTGAACTAGATAGAAGCGAATTGCTACAGAACGTTCATGAATATCCCAAGATGTCCTCTCATTTGGAAGGAAAGCTGATATGTATCTTTAATTTTGTATTAACAAATTATTTCCATCAGCCCTCGTTGAAGCTACAAGGGAGTAATCGGCAAGCATAATGAGTCAGTTGCTATACGGATATATTTCATTTACTGGGGCTTTTTTCTATAAAAAATAAATAAAAATAAAAAGTCACATCCTGCTCAAAGTTGTCCTACAAACAATGTTCAATTCATATTGAAGGCTAAGACAAATATGTGAATGTAACCATCATGGCTATGCTATATGTGGAAAAAAAAGGGTTAAAATTACATTATTCTAATAACATTACAATCGAAAAATAAAAGCATTTTAAAGCAGAAGTTTAACTTAACCATAAGTTTCAAATTGAACTAAATAAAAACAAAATCACATACTATAGGCTAACTAGGAACACACATTCACACATCTGAGCTTAGCCTATTAGCCTATACATGAGTTAGTTAATAATTGTTATCGTTTTCTAGCCTATTTACTGATTTTTCACTATTTAAAATCACCAAACAACATTCGCAACTAATTTTACTTCTGGAATTTCAGACTGAAACCGGATATTCAACAATGTGGGACTTGAGGTTTCAGGTTGAAAATGAGGTTGAAAAATAAGAGTGATTGGTGACAAAAAGAAAAATCGTTTCAGAGGTAGCGCAAGTTATTACACTTTGAACGATTAGAGAGAAAACACATTTTATCCTCTTGAATATCTTCCACTGATGAATTATTCACAATATGTATTCACCAATGTGCATGAAATAGGCCCCGTGTAACCTCTAATCTGAGAGTGTTTCTCTGGGGTACTGGACTCCACATTGCACAACAGTAAATATTGTGGTAACAGTGCTAACGGACTCACAATCTGTGCTTCTTCACATCACACGTTTTGCTATGCCTCGGGGTAAGACAGCTGATCGTGGCTAACCTCACTCTTCAGAAGTTCCCATGGTGAATGAATGCCTATGGGCTGTAATGCATGAAATCTATAGTCTCTTTATTTTCATAAGCAGAAATACAGAAGGCTGATGTATGCGCCTCTCACATCCCTTGCTGTATTTCCAGTAATAATGTTTCGCCACATTCTGAGGTAACATTCAAAGACGTACAAATAAGCACAAAAAAAACAAAAAAAAAAAAACATTTAGCATCTAACATTTAACTCTGTTCATCATAAACAGCGATCGAGTCTCTTCAGAAAATGTGGACTAAACTGCTCAATTCATATGGATTAGTTTCGCGAACTCTTTATGAACTTTTGAAGCATCAAAGTGGTATGTGTAACTGTGTAGGGACAGAAAGCTCTCAGATTTCATTAAAAAAGATGTTCGGAAGATGAACGAAAGACTTACGGGTTCAGAACGACATTAGAGAGAGTAATTAATGAGAGAATTTTCATTTTTGTGTGAACTATCCCTTAGCTTTCATTTTAGTTATCTTTATCGTTCTTGATGTGAACAGGCCTTAAATCTTCATTTCTAAACCACAGTAGTCCGTGCTCTCCATCTATACTTTCAGTGAAAGAAAAGCTTCCGTTTATTCTGACAAATATCTTATTTTCTGTTCCACAGAAGAAAGTCGGCTGATTTAAAAACAACAGGAGATATGATTACAGTTAAAGGAATAGTTCACTTTTTAAAAAAAAAAAAAACTTTTGCTGATAATTTACTCACCCTCATATCATACAAGATGTCCATGTCATTCTTTCTTCAGTCGAAAAGAAATTAAGGTTTTTGATGAAAACATTCCAGGATTTTTCTCCATATAATGCACTTTATGGTAACCAAACGGTTCAAGGTCCAAAAGACAGTTTCAGTGCAAACTGCAAACTGTTCAAAGGGCTTTAAACGATTCTGGACGATGAATAGGGGTCTTATCAAGCGAAACGATCACTCATTAAAAAAATAAATAAGAAAGTTTAAGTTTTATAAGCACAAATGCTCGCCTTGCTCTGTTCTGTGATGCACGTTCGTGACTCTCCTGTTGGAACTAATTTATCAAAATGAACAAAATCTTATTTCGTGTCATTTGGTTCATTCAACGAACGATATGAACAAATTGACTTGGAAAAAGATTCGTTCATTTTGATAAATGTGAACACGCATCACAGAACAGAGCAAGGCGACCATTTGTGCTTATAAAACTTAAAGTTTGTTATTATTATTTTTTTTTTTAAATGAGTGACCGTTTCGCTTGATAAGACCCTTATTCATTGTCTGGAATGGTTTAAAGCCCTTTGAACAGTTTGCAGTTTTTTTTTTTTTTTCAGCAAAAGTTTTTTTTTTTTAAAGTGAACTACTTTAAACAAGAGCAATCATAGATCATATATGGAATAAGCTATACTTTCTCCAAAAAAAAAAAATCACTTCAAGCTCTTTAAAATTCCATCCAATCTAATATATAAGCAGAGATTCCTCACATCTGCACAAGTTATGCCATCCTTCGTCCTCATTCCGACTTAGTTTTGATTAGATGACTTTGCTGTACCAGTATTGACTCATAACAAGCAAGAAAACAAGCACAATCATTTCACACCATCCCTTAGAGATATGACTCCCACATTATTCCAGAATCACACTGTCATTCATCTCTTCTGATTAAACCCTGCAAACATCGAATTAAACCCAGCCTCAATAGTCACAGATGGAATCTACAATTATGAAGTATATCCAAAAGGAAGAATCATGACTATGCAGAATGGTGCTCTCCATTCAGTAGGTTGGTACACTTTGATGAGTTTCTTTTGTGAGCAGTATTAGATATTCGGTGTCCCATATTTCATGCAATGACTGCATGATGTTCCACCTGCTAATATAGCAAATTTATCTCACATTTCAGCATTTCAAAATGTAGCGAAACATAATATAAAATTTGGTTTGACCTTGGGTTGATGATCAACATTTTCAATAATTTTCTTGAAGAATAACTTTTTTTTTTTTTTAGATGGCAGGGCTTAATTTGTCCCTTCGTGCCATATACAATACGTTGTTCCATTTTAAATAAATATATTTCTAGGTGATCATGTTTCTATTTGTGCACAATTAGGTTGTTTTCAATGCGGCAGTCTGATAAATACTAGTACCTAAAATGCATAAAGGTACTTAAAAAGTTTAAACAGCAGGGGGCAGCACTTAGTTTTATTGTAGCCAATGAAAACACCCCGTAAAAAAACAATGAAAACAAATGCTTGCTTAAAATGTAGCTACAGATACTTGCATACACAATAAAATACTAAAACCTAGATATGCACATCCTAAAATCACTAATCGTTAGTTGACTACTAAAGTCCCTTTAGTCTTTGCTATTGTTGAGTAACTTTGTGTAGTCTGGAAAGAAGGCCATGCATTAACATAAAACTAGAAACTGCAAAACACATTTGATTCTGCAGACCTACTGCCTAAAAACAGCATTATTATTTGTAATACTCATCCACTTTCAGATTTAGGTCTAGGAATTATAAAAGAACACATGTTTACTTTCTGTGCTTTACAGATTTACATACATTTAAAATGCTCAAACATTCACACAAAACGTTTGAAAACAATGTTTTCTTCTCCAGTGTTATGGGATAACTAAAGAGATAATATGCTTTTTACAATGCGAGTTCTCAGGCATCATCACAGCAAGCTAATGTGCATTGATGTGGTCTCTATTCTGTCTGTACATTTCAAAAGACTTAGGATCATACAATTTGATCTACTCTGAATAAACACACTATAGGCTACTCCTAATTACACAGCTCATGGAAATGAAGAAAAGAACAGAATCGAGTGAAAGAGAGAGGGGGAAGGGCCACACTTGAATCTATAAGAGCACAGGCATTGGCTTTATCCCTCGTGTGACACTCTCAGTGAAAAACCTAACCTCTCTCACACACACACACACACACACACACACCACATGCTGCATGACCGTTCGCTCAGGATGGCGACACAGATAAAATGCCATACATCCTCAGATGTTGCTTTCTTAGTCTGTGTTTTTGCTGTATTTTTTCAAGGTGAGTACAAATTTACTTTACTTTTGTTCTACTGCAGATGTTTGGATCTAACTTTGATTCACTCAAGATGTTGTGCAGCTTTAAGAGAAGAGTGTGCGATTATAATGTTGCTATTACTTTTAGTAATAGTTTTGCTCCAAACTTTTAGTAACTATTAGAAAGTAGCTGTGTAAACGTTTCAGTGCGTGCCATCATGCATGCATTTATTTTTTTCTTCCTGCGAATCTACCACACCCCTTTGCATGACAGCCATACGCTTTAAATAAAGTTGTCGAGTTCCCTCTCAAGTTAATGGCTTGAGATCAATGGAATCGCTCTCTTCCACTCAGTGCATCTATGCATATATTTTATCACCAGGTGGCCGTGTGTGCGTCTGTATGAGAAATAAAAGTCCATCTGTTGTTATTCCATAACGCATAAAGAGGATTTTGTTCATTTGGCGGATTATGAAGCATCCAGGTGTTTCGAGGACCCTGGGCAGCAAAAGTCGTGGGCTGTATGATGTAACTTAATCCACATTACATATTCACTCAAGATTACCAAAAACTGCAAATACCAGATGCAGCAGTGCAAAGTTATTTTCTGAATCTACATTTATTCATTATTAATACATCTTGTTTTCCAGTAAAATAAACTTATTTGAAAAGCAAATTTGCTTTCAGAGAATACCTGCAGAATTAAGATTATTTTCTTCTAATTGTAGTTCTTGTTTTAAGCCAATATCGAACTAAAATGTAGCTACTTGATATTTATATGAAGAAAAAAAAAAGATATTATCACTACTTCTAATTTAATGTATCTTGTTTAGGAATATAGTTTTTATTACTGGAAAACAAGACAAAATACAAATTAAGAAAATGTTTGAGCACTGTTAAATCCTGCTAAATTGCAATAAATGCCTGCTAAGTTGCCAATAAATCCTGCTAAATTGCAGATATGACTCAATAGTTGTTGATGAAAGATTCTATGAATATTGAGTATTTTATATATTTTCAGATATGACCCAATAGTTTTTGATGAAATATATATATATATATATTATATATATATATATATTTTTTTTTTTTTCTTTCATCAAAAACTATTGGAAAACTATATGAAAAACTATCATATCTGCAATTATATATTCATTCAAGTAAACGATTTTAGGTAAATAAAATTTGTCAAATAATTATATGAATTATAATGAAGTGCATAACATGATATTAACAATTTATATATAAAAAAAATACTCAACCATGCATTCATATAAAGAGATGTGAATTTTTAAATTTCAAATCAATTAAACATCAAAATAATAAGCAAGTATCTGTTTTTTGTCAGTCCTCGTGTCATTCTAGTCATTCAGTATCGTGTTTATTTTCCATTTGCATGCATTCCCTTACTCACGACAACCAAGAACAGATTTTGTTCTCATTGGCATAGGTCCCATAACTCGGTTATTGTAGCTTAAAGGGGGTATGAGCTCTGCTGATAATGATGCTTTGGCAGAGAGTGAAGGAGTTGGGCTGCTCAAGAAGTGTCTGATTAGAAACATAAGAGTGTCTTTCCTCCATATGGTTGCTGCCCTCCCTGTTTGGGTGGAGACAGCGTGGGCCCCACACTCCTTTACTGGGAGAGGAAGAGAGAGACTGGGGGTCAGAGGTCAGAGGGGGCATGCTGTGTGAGAGAGATCCAAAGTTACACTGCTCCTTCCCTTTAAATGGATGGTTTGAGTCTCAAATTCCAGCATCCCTAAGGGAACGCTCAGTGATGCAGCAGACGACCAGGCATCTTTTAGTAGAGCAGTGCAGAACTGAACAAAATGTCCTATATAGTTAAATTGCATCAGAGAGAGAGAGAGGGATGATGAATCACAGTATGAATTACAAGTTCCATTTGAAAAAAAAAATTAAAACATTAGTTAAGGCACTAGCCATCATAAATTAACAATGAAAAATACTTTAACAGAATTTAAGGTAACATTTTACAATAAGGTTCATTTGTTTACATTAGTTAATGTCCATTAACTAACCATGATTAACCAATTTGTTACTGTATTTGTTGTAATCTTTGTTAATGTTAGTTAATAAAAATACAGCTGTTCATTGTAAGTTCACAGTGCATTAACTAATGTCAATAAGTTTAATAAAGTATTAGTAAATTTTGAAATTAACATTAACAAAGATGAATAAATGCTGTATACAGTATGTGTAGTTCATGCTAACTAATGTTAATCTTATTGTAAAGTGTTACCGAATTTATTTTACATACATGATTATAATTTTTTTATAATTTTTTTTACTTCATTTTTTTAAAAACTTTTTTCAATTTAAAAAGTGATTGTCAAGACATTTAGGGGCCGTTTACATGACACTGTTTTTAACTAAAAACTTTTGGAAACGGGTTTCGAAGTTCAAGTTTTTGCAAACGATACCGTTATTGTCCCAACGAAACTACAAAAACGTGAATTTGTGAAAACGGTGACGTCATGCGCGTACATATTACATGTTCAGTCTATAGGCATATACTTTTTCGTTACAAACTAACATCGCCAACTACTGGTCTGGCAGTATAACACAGCGTTTTTAGTCGTTTTCATCTGTACGTGAAAAACGTGAATGTTTTAATACATCTTTGCCAGTTAAACAAAGTGAAAAACAAGCTTTTAATGTTGTTTAAATGTATATGCGGTATTTTTAATACGCTTTCAATCAGATATTGTGGAAATTCATCAGTCAGAATATTTTCTCCTTAAAACTGCAGTGTACCAAAGACATTTTTACTATAAAAATATTGCCAACTACAAATGTTTAAACGGTGTAACATTTCATGTTGTCTAACAGATAATGTATCCTACATTTTTTTTTTTTTTTACAATTTATAAATGTTAGAACAAGTGATACCTAAAAGATTTTTAAACTAGATTCAAACATTTCCTGAATAAAATATGCTATGTAGATGTGTAAACTTGGCCAGTGCTAAGTATTATTGATTGTAGGTGTTCTGGACAGTTGCTAGGGCGTTATGGATGATTGTTCATTCTTCCAATTCGAAAGAGCCAATCCACAAGCCTCTGACATTCTGGTCCTCCTTCAATGCAAGTCAATGGAATTTTTGTTTTCCCACCAGGAAGTACTAAAAAAGTTAATTAATGAATGATATTTGAGGGCAATTTCTTTGCCTTCGATAGGCACAAGTGACAGATGTACTTGAGATGGGGATTGGAGGCATATGCTCATACATCTGCTGTCGTAAAGCTGATCTCTCATAGCAGCTGACAAACTGTCAGTGTTATCAAGTGTGAAGCAGGGCGTGATGTATCGAGCGTACTGTCGGCTCAGAGAAGCTGCGACATGGGACATCGCCAAGTAGCGTGAGCAGCCTTGAGGATCACAGTCCAGATGTAGAACAAAAACATAGCACTTTATTGACACTCCCACCCCTTCTGCCTTTCCATCCTCACATGATAGCTTCCTTTATCATTCCTTCTTGCCCACGGCTTAAAAGGAACCCATACGATCCTGTTACTCAAGCCTTCCTGGGTTTGGAATGTCGAAACATTCCTTGACTGGGAATTCCCAGAGGCTTTGAGGGAATGGAAGAGACAGTAAACGAATGAGGGATGTAACTTCCTCTCATGGAGGGAATGGGGTGAAGATAAGTCGAGGAATAAGGGGGATGGGGTGAATAGATATAACATCTGTGTGGAAGGGGGTTGTAGGAATGTTCCCTATGGTTGTAAGGGGTTCACTTGTAGCACTGAAGGGACTAGTGCATGTGTGAATTGGTCTATGGCTGCGTCCTCCAGAGTATCCATGACACTCCAAAGTCATAAGAAAATTACAACAATTCAGTCCACACCCCTTTTCTGAAATAAAACATCCTTGGTGACGTACGTGTGCGGGCTACAAATGCGACCTCCGGAGGACACAGCCTTCGAAATGAGACACAGCTATGTTTGTTTATGTTCGTCTGGGCAATGTTTCACCTTCATCGGTCCTTTCTAAAAGAGCCGCCCTTTCTGTCCAAGAACAGTTGTAAAACTAAAATACACATTTCTCTTAAAGGGACAGTTTATCTAAAATTAAAATTCGGTCAGCTCTTTCTTTCTTCTGTGGAAGCTTGTTTCCAATTGATAATTGCAACCTTTTTAATTGCTATTTTTCCTCGCAATTGTTTGAGTTTATATCCTGCAATTCTGACTTCTTTTCTCAGAATTGTGAGACATACAGACACTCGCAATTGTGGGTTATAATAAGTCCAGTTCTAAGGCGGAAAAAGGCAAACTTTTCCCTCAGAATTGACAGTTTCCATTTCACAATTCAGACTTTATAACTTACAACTGTGACTTTATAACATGCAGTTTTGAGAAAAGTCAGAACTGGGTGATAAAAAGTCGTAATTACCTTTTTGAATTTTTCAGTGGTGGAAACAAGCTTTTAGGAACACTAAAAGTTATATACACACACACACACACATATATATATATATATATATATATATATATATATAGATAGATAGATAGATAGATAGATAGATAGATAGATAGATAGATAGATAGATAGATAGATAGATAGATAGATAGATAGATAGATAGATAGATAGATAGATAGATAGATAGATAGATAGACAAACAACAGTGACTAACAAATCTATTCTTTGAGTTGAATTTGTTTAACTATTTAAAATGCATTTCCCATCCATTCTTCCATTTAACCAGATATTCATTCCCTGCTGTTAATTCTCTCTCACTACAGTGCGTTTTTAGATGTGTTAGATATGTACCACCAATTCCCTATAACAGAATTTTGTAAAACCGAGTAAAAACTGGGTCACTTATGTACCTTCTACGAAACTGAAGCCATGCCTTCATATGATTGTTTAAGTAATGTGCTTTATTGTGCCTCAAGCCACTGCTATTCAGAGCTCTTGATATGCTTTAATTTACTGTCAGCTACTAAACTACTGTATGTAGAGCCTTCAGAACAAAGTCTCATTGTGTTTGTGCTGAAACTTTGAATGCTTTCAAAGTAGTTTCTACATGATTCAATCATTCAAGATATTCTCTAAACAACCATTACCAGGCAAAGGTCATTATGGGAGATACAGTAGTGTTGAAAACAAGACCAAAGAGTGACAATATAGATCTTAGTCTTGCATTTAAGTCCAAAACTCATTGGTGTAGGCAAAGTGGTAGTAGGCCTACTGCATAAAAGTTGCAGTATTTGCTTATAGCACAAGACAACAGCTGTGACGGGCAAGTTTGTCACAGAGAAAACCAGTGTTAGCATGCAAATCTCAATTTGATCCTTGTCCAATGGTTCAAGAACCATCTTTTTTTTTTTAAAAATGTCACCAAATTTTTTTTTCTTCTTTTATATTATATATAAATATATGAAGAAAACAGATTGAACTTTATCAGAAATGCCTGAAAACTATTCCTTCTGTCATATTACAGGAAGGGAGGAAGGAAGTAAGGCAGAGTGAGTGATTCCAGCCAAGTGTCAATACCTCTATGTTTTCTTTGCATGCCTAATATAATATTTTAGTCCAGCAAACCTACTACTGTAAAGCAAATCTTCAAGAAAAAAACAAAACAAACAAAAACCTAAGCATCATCATTACATCGGTGTTGGTTAAGAACTTTACATAGTTGCTCTGTTTCCAAGTGCCTCTAAATTAAATGAAACTATTAAAACAATACGCCTCTGAATCACAGAAACGCACATGATAGCACACACACATTTGTCTGTTTAACCTAAGGAGCCCAGGGGAGTGAGTGAATGAGTAAATGTGAGGTCATGGAACAAAAGCTCAGAGAAGCAGGATGAGGAGAAAACAAGATCTGAATTTGCCCATCGGATGACTCAGCTCATGTGATGAAAGCAAACCCCACGGTGGAAATGAATCTGTAATGCTGAAAATGTATGTCAGAACTCGGGTTGTCCTTTCATTGCTGAAAGTTGTGGCTGGTTGTCAGTTTGTGTGTAAATGCATGTTTTTGAGCAACGTTCTCCACTAGCTAGAAATGACTATTATAGTAATTAAGTTCTCGCTCTATTTTACTGTATACGCAATTGATACGCAGTTCATTTGCATAATACAAACGCATCCCACACCACTACTAAACCTACCCTAACCAACCCATGCGTATCCTACTGTATGCACATAAAAACTAATTTTCGCGTAAAAAACTGCACAATAAACACACTGCATGCTATCAGGTTGGTCCCGCAGAGTATAGCCCCAATTTGCCTCCTGTCTGGAAGTTTCTAGTATGCCTAAAGTAAGACCTTGATCAGCCGGTCCGGGTGTGTTTGATTGGTGTTGGAGCTGAACTCTGCAGGACAATGGCCGTCCAGTACCAGAATTGGACACCCCGGCTGTAGCCTATATCTAAAGCAAATCCTAGTTAGTTTAAAGTCCAATTTTACACTGTACATTTCCTGGTTAATTTTGTTTTTCCACTAAATCAGTCATTAACAAAATTGGAAAGTGTATTACAAAGAAGTGGAATGTATTATTCTTGGGGAGCTACTTTATCCTGCTTATTAAATCAAATTTACAAAACACAGAGGGACAAATTCACTCAACAGTGCCTCCACAAACTAACACTCAAAACCAGTTTAAAAGATGGGGAATTGCATTGCGCAAATTGAATTCAGTGATCATTTTTGGCCGCGCCTTCGCCATTACCGGAACTGCATAACTCTTTTAGTCAAAACAAACCAGACAGAAGGCAAATAAACTCAATTTATTCTTGGTGAATTTCGCCTTGAAACATTAGCATGGAAAAATCTAGAGGCTAGCATCTGGAGACATTTTAAATAGACTTTTATAATGACATACAAATATAAAACAAGCCAAAGAAATTCATAAAAGAGAGAAAACAATACTCGAGAGTAGTGCTACTGTAACGGATGCCAGTTCTTTACACTTCTCGTAGCTTTTATTAAAGACAAACGTGGGAAATCTTGTTTATTGACTAGCAAAACTTTAAAAAAAGGCCAACATTTAGTTGGTAACCAATCAAAATAATTCACCCTGGCATTCTGATCTTGCTCAAAAGAATTATGTAAAAATGCTAAACATTCAGTTTCATTATAATGGATGGAACGGATGTCTTAAAGCGCACTAAATCATCCTGACAGCGATCTAAATGTCTCACTTTAGGTTTCACGAGTACCGTGCTGAGCATTGATCACATGACCAAAGACAAAAACAATCTCGCTTTTAAAATAGAATCACTCTTTTATTCAAAACATCTCTAGCAGAAATGGTGTGCAAATGACAAATCCAGAAGGATCTCTGAGACATAAGAGTCTCTTTTATTTCCTCTATCTATCTCCCTGCCTCCTTTTCTTTCACTATTCTTTTCTTTTTAACCTCTGACTGGCGAATCTCTGCGGAGTGCAGAGGGGAGTGTGTTGAGTCAGGGTCGGGGTCAGAGGTCGGGACCTCTTGTTGCACGGGGGAGGGGAAAGGTTAAGGTTTTATTAGCTCAGTCTGTGCCGATGTATTCGCGCTCAATCAGGCTAATCATTTCATACATCACCTTCAGCTTAGAAATTCATACCAGCACAGCCCTTTAGAGCCAAATAAATGAGGTCAGTATTCATTCCTCTAAAAAAAATTGACTCGAAACCAGAGTTGCGCATGTTTAGAAAATGCAAAGCATATTGTAGTTCTTCAAAGATTCACTTTTGTAAAGCTCCACTCAATTTAATTAGTTTGGATGTGGTCAACTGCAAAAAATGAGTTACGTTTTCATTCAGCTCTCTTCAACTAACTTCAGCGCTAGCAAGTTAGCAACAGTTTAAAAGAAGCATAAGAGCCTGATTCAAACTCGCACCATGGCTCAGTGTGTGGGCTGTAACACAAGTGAGTTTTTTTGAATCGTTAACTACGGTGTTTGTGGGTGATAAAGACAGAAAATAACTCAATTAAATAGGGGAGGGAAAACGTATGTTCCACTGAAATGCTAATTGGGTTTGAGTCTTTGGAACTCTGCCAAGGCCACAATATTGTGACAGGAGATTTGAAATAACACATCAACGTTCGTGATTTACAGCTCAGTTTAACCCAATTCATTTTAATCTAATTATCTATTATCTAGATACAGTTGAGAATAAAATGTGAGTGATGCTTACCCTTGCAAAATCACAAAAGTGATGCTAGGCTAATAGGCTAGTGTACTGCACTACCGGTTTGGGGTCAGATTTATTCATGTTCTTGAAAGAAGTCTCTTATGCTCACCAAGGCTGCAGTTATTATTTATTAAAATACAAAAAAACATAATATTATTAATTATTATTGCAATATTTATGTGTACACTGAACCCATTTTGTTCAGGATTGCTTGATGGAAATATAGAAAGTTCAAAACAATACAATTTATTAAAAAAACTTTACTTTTACTTAATTGAACGTGTCCTTGCTGAGTAAATTTTAAAGGAAAAACCTTTGAATGCTAATGTAATATACTATATGATTTTCAGAGCACTGTAAAAAAATATTTTCATGATTTGTAATCACAACATTTTTCTTTTGTCAAATCAACTTAGATAATTTATGTAGTTCAGATAACATAATATTTTGAGTTTCTAGTGATTAAATTAATCTCCTTCATTGTATTAACTTAATTTTTCCATTTCAATGAACTTAAAATTTTAAGGCAACCAGGTTACTTATTTTTTTCCAAGTTAAACCAACAATATTTTTTTTAAAGTGTAGGAATAAGATCCCTCATTTAATGTAGGCCTACTTTAGTCTATGGTTGTTGTTGTGTTTTTGCTCGTTCCATCATCCGCTAAGTAAGAAAGATTATTATATCATGACACGTTGGATGCAGACGCTCTGACAACATTTGCCTTATATTTCAGCTGTGATTTGTCAAGAAATCATCCGAGGAGATGGTGATCCAGTCTCTCCAACCGAAAAGGCGCACGGCAAAGGTAAAAAAAATAATAAAAAAATTACATATTAAATTCAACAAATAAATGAATAAATAATGAATTCATAAAGGTGCAATTTCTTCATTTGACCCTTGTAATTAAAGATATGTATCTTTATATTTTGCTCCTTTTCTTTTCCCTTTTTTTTTTTTTTTGGAGTTGATTAACTTATAAATCATTAGCCAGCAAACAAAAAAACTAACTAGGGATTTATGACCAAAACAGGTGATGACATTGCTTTAAATTAAATGACCATTCAAGTTTGGATTAGATGCAATGTAAATACATGCTATTTTAATGATATACTCTCATTAACTTGAACACCGCGCTCCATTAACTTTCCATTTCTAATCCATTCGTACAAATGTTTGCGATCTAATTTTATGTTATACCAGTTGAAAGTCTAAAAAGTAGACTGTACCATACCTCGCTAAACTATGACCATGTTCTCACCATTTAAAATTCAACTGTATGAGAAAAACTGCTTTTTTATGAGAATGATTACAACAATACGGCAAGTAACATCAAATACATTTCCCTCACAGGAGATCCTCAGATCCAGATTGTTGTTTTCCCCTCCATATCACCTGATTTAGAGACGTCAGAGACACCAGGAGCAGACAGTGGGACCACTCAACCTAACACACAGACCCCAGATCAGACCCACTCAAACCCACCTCAAAAAAACAGCCTTACTTCAAAGGTTGGGGACAACCAGACAACAGATATTGTGCCTCATTAATATTATGTCAAAACATGTTTTATATTTACCAAAGGCTATACCCTGATTGTGTGTGCCATTCAGTTAAGAAGACATCTGGACTTACATTTTTTGTTTTATTTATTTTTGCAGGGAAAAGTGGTCTGTGTGGATAAAATACAAGAGCACTACAGATATGATGTGCTGCTGAAACTAAAGGCCTCCTCCACGTGTGTAAGTTCTGGGCTGCGTTTATCCTGTGATAACTGGGTGGAAAATATATCATGCGAGAGCTGATTCTATATCAGTGGCTATTAGATTTCGAGAACTCTTTAGTTAAATACGGTAGTGCTGTGTGCGGATTTATACACCTATCGAGACTAATACAGTTGAAACCTTTAGACTAGTTCACCAAAAAAATGAATTACTCATCCTCATGTCATTCCAAACCCGTGAGACTTTCGTTCATCTTCAGAATGCAAATGAAGATATTTTTGATGAAATCTGAGTTTTCTGTTCCTCCGTTGACAGTTACGCAACTACCACTTTGACGCTGCAAAAAGTTCATAAAGAGATCAAACGAATCCATATGAATTAAGCAGTTAAGTCCAAAATTTTTGAAGAGATCAAATCGCTTTATATGATGAATAGATTGAATGTACGCTTTTATTCGTATAAAAGTTTTTTGCGGGGAGCCTATTTGCACCCACATTATCGAGGTAGATTATTTATGGGGGTAAAAAAACTACCAGAGGCATTACAGTAAAGAGAATTATGTGTACGGTAAATGTGACCTGTGCGTGTTTTTGTGAGAATCACACTTTAGCATACACAGCAATCACTCACACGCCTTTAAAATGTTTGGAAACCCACAACAAAGAGTGATCTGCATAATCTAGAATAAAAAGACATCATTGCTAAGCCTTTAACTTGCTACAAATTATAGACAAACTTCATTTTGGCAACTATGACATTATATAAGAAGTTGAAGCCTTTTTATAAGTCAGCCTTTAGAGACCCTAATAAGCGTGTTATGCCATGTGCTCAAGTCTCACTGGGTGGACCATCATAGAGGCCTTGCGGCCCGCACATCAATGGCATTCCAATACACGCTATGGGCGGCGGCTGTTCGGAATTCACGCCAGGAACTCTGCCAAGATACATACAGTAGACGGGCCTCTAGGTTTAGTTTCAGAGCCAGTAGAGTACCAAACTCCCAATAGAATGAAGTATAAACAGCCAAATAGAAGAAAACACATCATGAGAGTAAAAAACATGCATTTATATTGTGTGTGTGACGAAAAGTGACATATTCATGAAGTCTGATGATTTAAGCTAAAATTCAGCACAAATTTGACACGTTTTTAAGGAAAGTTAGATATAGATCGTAGTCAAAAAGCTTCCGTCTCAAGCAATTATGCCTTATTTATTTCAGTTTATTAGCAATATATTTATCTATTTCAGTATTTTGAGATATATATGTGTGTGTGTGTATTTGTGTGTGCGCGTGTTCAAAATGGCATTTTAAAGCTCTTATGGGAATTCTTCTATTCACCAATGTTCCCTTGGAGGACTGTGATTCAGCGGAAAGGGAGGCTGTTACTATGAGAGAAAGTCAGGTTTCATATTACACCAAATTCCAGGAAAGAAAGAAATATGAAAGATGGAGAGAGAGAGAGAGAGAAGGGGGAGAAATGAGAGCAAGCCATCACTCCATTTGATGTTAAATATACATGACTTTTTAAGTGTCCAACATTTATTACAAACACTTTTTAAATTCAAAACCCTTTCATCCAATAGGAAGAGACTAGAGCCAGGATACAGAGTGTTCTAGAACATCTCTGTGGTGAAGATTGTGAACTTAAAATCTATCAGAAAGACAACACCGATGAGGTCATAATTTATGGAGACAGCATTGATGGTTTGTATCGTCTTCTTTTCATTTTTTGCTTGTTTCATATTATTACAAAATATTCCACAAACACACTATCAATACAATGGAATCACCAAATATCAATTAATTAATAGTATACTAATCCAAATTCAGTTTAATTGACCTTCATTAGTGTGAACTGAAATGTCCCCACCCCATAAAATAACAAAAGTTACCAATTTATTAAATATGATGAAATCGATCTATCTATCTGGCTTTTTAAAGCTGAATTTTATCTTTTGTAACAAGTTTAAAATGACGAATGTCGAATTTGAATTAATTCTTACAACTACAAAACTTTTGCACTGGAATTATAAAATTCTTATTTCAATTCTGAATGGTGCACAACTCTGCTCTACAGACTACATCTGAACAATCAGACTAAACTTTCAGCAATTTTTTTTGTTTCATGAAGTTGATCCTGAAGAAATGGCTGGGAAGATCAACAATGACAACATTACAGATAAGGTCAGCGACACAAAAGTGCAATAAAATATACACATGCAAAATGCACATACACATCCAAAAGAAATTACACTGAAATGAGGAATGTAGCCTGGTACATCTGCTATTGGGATTTTGCATAGCAGTGGTTTAATAAAGCGTTACTCCCAGATTCCAGGACATATGAATAATACGCACTCTGTTCGGCCTCTGAAACAGAAACACTACATATTGCCATGTGGTTTAGTTTAGGGTTAAGTTTGGGTGAGGTAAGGCTGGAACTCATTATGAGGTAAATAGCTGTGCTGACAAATCAGATAAACACACTCTACGATACACGTAAACTTAATTCACGCAATGCTATAAACTATACAACACCTGCCAGGTAAAAAAGAGAATGTGTTGGTAATGGTTTGTCTCTATAGGTGGACGTCGATGAGGCGGTGTCTCGCGTGGGCCAGCGCTCGAAAATTGTCCTGATCTCTCTTCTGATTACGGGTTTGCTTCTTGCTGCTTTGCTAATAGCTGGATACCTTCTAAAGACTCATCGAGGACAATCCAAAGGGCTAAGACTGGTGAGTGTAAGCGTCTAATCAAATACCAAATGAATCAAAATTAAGCTTGGGGTAGCGCCATTGCTCATTGTATTTATGACTCTTGTCTTCATCAAGGCTGAGGACTCCTTCCAAGTGGATCAAGACAACCAAGGCAACACACTTCTGTCTGTGGCTCCTCTGCCTCAACAGGAGCCTTTGGACAAGCCCATCATTAACGGAGAGTCTCCGGACTCACCCCCCACCAATGGACACTCCGCCACCCAGACACAGGTGGCCGATACTCCGATGTAAGCGGCTCGGAGTCAACATCAATTCAATGACCAACTAGAGTGAACAGACCTCATGGGTTATCGTACACAACAACATTAGGAGTGATGAAAACTACAACTGAGATGATGCCGAGGGACACAATGCTGAAAGTATGAAAACCAAAACGTGATGTGAGAGGAGCCTTTTGTGTAAGTCTGCTCTTGTTGAGCCTGAAAACGTTAGCAGGATATGAATAACCCTTCAGAAACCACATCTATTATATACAAACACTTACACTTTTAAATCTGTTTAAATCTCCATTTTTCAGAGATCATTCATGCCAAAGCTTCTCTTAAGGAACTCAAAAACAGTACAATACTAAGGATTTGTATTATACCTTTAGATGAGCCAAAATCTCATGTATGCAAAACATTGTCAAGTCTAAAACCGCTGCTAGATTACTTACATACAGTAGTAATGGTTAACAATCAAGTATGTTTGTTTACATTATGCGTTAAAGGAGTAGTTCACTTTTAAAAAAAACTTTTGCTGATAATTTCCTCACCCCCATGTCATCCAAGATGTCTATGTCTTTCTTTCTTCAGTCGAAAAGAAATTAAGGTTTTTGATGAAAACATTCCAGGATTTTTCTTCATATAATGCACTTCATTAGGAACCAAACAGTTCAAGGTCCAAATGAGAGTGTCAGTGCAAACTGCAAACTTTTCAAAGGGCTTTAAACAATTCCAGACGATGAATAAGGGTCTTATCAAGCGAAACGATCGCTCATTTAAAAAAAAAATAACAAAGTTTAAGTTTTATAAGCTCAAATGCTCACCTTGCTCTGTTCTGTGATGCGTTCGTGACTCTCCTGTTCGAACTCGTTCATCAAAATAACGAATCTTTTTCCGAGTCAATTCGTTCGTTGAATGAACCAAATGACACAAAAAAAGATTTGTTCATTTTGATGAACAAGTTCAAACAGGAGAGTCACGAACGCGATTTGAGCTTGTAAAACTTAACCTTTGTTTTTTATTTTTTAAATGAGCGATCGTTTCGCGTGATAAGACCCTTATTCATCGTCTGGAATCGCTTAAAGCCCTTTGAACAGTTTGCAGTTTGTACCGAAAGTGTCTTTTGGACCTTGAACTGTTTGGTTCCCAGTAAAGTGTATTATATGGAGAAAAATCCTGGATTGTTTTCATTAAAAAAACCTTAATTTCTTTTCGACTGAAGAAAGAATGACATGAGGGTGAGTAAATTATCAGCAAAAGTTTTTTTTTAAAGTGAAATAACTTGGTAACGCTTTATTTTAAGGTGTCAGTGTTACAGTATAATGATACATTAAGTACTGACTAATATTAATGACTATTACTATAGGGTAAGGAATAGTAGCATACTATGTAGCAAAGACACTGTAAAATAAAGTGTTACTAAAAACGTTTACAGCAATTATTAATCTAGGTTAATGCTAATTTGTACACATACTTTCTACATATTTTAACATATCAAGTTGTATAAATGAACATTAAAAAGTATTACGAATTAAGAATAATTAACAAACAACGATAGTATACTTCTGAATCAACATTAAGTTAGATTAATAAATGCTTTAAAGTGTAAAAGTTGTTCATGATACTAAATTCATAAATGTTAATGTTAATTTCAGTTTACTGTTGTTTGCATTCAATGTTTTTTAGCATGCGGTTATCAATGGCCTATATGTTAAGGTTTTCCTCTCGCTACTTTTATTTGATTTATTTCAGTAATGTTCAGGATTTTTATGCATTTCAGATGTATTTGGCAGATGCTTTTGAACATAAACTCAGGACCTTGCCATTTCTAGCATTATGCTCCACAAGTTGAACTATGGAAAATTGTGTATTAAGTCAAAAGCTTGAGTGGCAGAGCGGTAACTCATTAGTACTGCTAAAAATCCTTGTGTGAGACACGTCACTCACTAAACACACATTTGCATGTAGATCTTGATAGTAATGACTGATGAATCACTGACCAGATAGGCCATGACATTTACCTTTATGTATTTTGCAATTGCCTATATTTTTATACAAAGTATATTTTGTTTTATACCTTTTTGGATTGGTGTGTAATCTAGACATTCAGTTACTCATGGGGGGATTGTAGCATTGTTGTTTTGTGCATGAAGAAGTGTGTATGAGTGAATAGTTGTATTGTTTGTCTCATTTCATTTACTGTGCAAGCCAAAGTTCTAAACTGCTCCAGAATAAACACAATTTTCATAATGTTTGACTACCATATCAATAATTTCGAGTGAATCCTGAAAAATGTATTAAAATTCTGTTTATATCACAGATTTTACTAAATTTAAATCAATTCCACTCCCAAAGTCAGCGAACAAAATGGGGGAAAAGTCCACAGATTACAAAACACTCAAATATACAGTAACATCTTGCTCATTTTACAGTTCATTAACAATCAACATACATTAAGAATCAGCAGATAAATAATATAAATCTTTGGCTTTGAATGGTTGTTTAAGTAAACGAGTAAGCATAGTGAGGCTAGAGCAAAGAAAACACTAGTAAGGCAGTAATAATGTCCCCTGGGCCACATCAAACTTGCTTCATGCATTAAAATTTCAGTGGATTCACACGGTCATGGGATCAAGTGAAGTGTGTTAAACTCTCTGTGGAGCCTCACAGTGGAACATTTTTTACTATGGTATTCTCTCTCTCTCGCTCTCTGTGTATGTGTGTGTGTTATGCGTTCAGCAATAGCAGGAAAAAAACTGAAGGCTGAGCGGATATTTCCCTCCGACTGTAAACCAGTTAATGGGTGTCGAGAAGGGGGAATATAGAAATCATTCACATTGCGAATCATTTTATTCAATGAAAATAGCCAAATTATCAACAGCTAGAAAATACAGACAATTTTGCTGTGGACATTTGCAAGTGAAATTTTTTCCCAGTTGCTCTTAAACTAAAGTTTTAGAAAAGCAGAGCCGGACAGTAACGGAGTACATTTACTTGAGTATAGTACTACTTAAGTACAATTTTGAGGGATTTGTACTTTACTCGAGTATCATTTTTGGGGAGTACTCATGACTTTACAAGTAAAGTCTAAATAGACTGTTTCAAACAGTGTTGGGGGTAATGCATTACAAGTAATGCAAGTAATGTAATCAGATTACTTTTTTCAAGTAATGAGTAAAGTATTGCATTACTTTTAAATCTACAACAAAATATCGGAGTCACTTTTTCAAACAAGTAACTCAAGTGACTTTGTTTCCCCTTATATTGCTCCCTGTCCTCATGATGAGAGAAATCGGGAGTGCAGAGGCGTTGTGTGATGATGATGATGATGATGATGGTTATTGTAGTTCTAGAGTAAAAGTGAACATGCATTTACTCCTCTCACTTGCACTATTTCAGTGTTCCTCAAAATGAATAACAGTGAAACTCAAACTCTGAATATTACGCAAATGTATAATAATTAAATTACACAAATGTACTTTATGTATTTAATCTTATTTTATTTTTTATTATTTGGATTTTCTGCATTTCCTTCAGCCTGAGGATTATTCAATATCACATTTGGTGAAAAGGGGCCTTTATATTTTCCGAAAATACAAAAAAAAAAAAAGTTATCAAAAAACAAACAACCAATCCCAGCCCAGGTGAGAAAAAGGTAACGTAAAAGTAATGTAATTGCAATACTTTCCATAAAAAGTTACATTTTTCCAATTAGTTACTTTTTTAGATAGTAAAAAAAAGTATTACAATATTGCAATGCATTACTTTTAAAAGTAACTTTCTCCAACGCTGGTTTCAATAAACACTACTACCCCCATTTTATCTTCATATGGGGTGCTAAAATTTTCACTCTTATGCTAGAGTTTTCTATCCATTAAATTCATATTTCAAATTACTATACAGGTGTATGTAACAATTTAGATGCACATTTGTTTATTAAAAGTAGATTCTTTACAGACACTCCAGAAATACCACAGAGCTAAATATAGACCTTTAGTGAGAGCCATCTGCAAGCCTCAGAGTTTGGACACTCACTGACACACCAGATCTAGTTCAGCAACAAACAAAGGGCTTAATGAATAAACTAAATAATCAGAGATGACTTCAATATGCCACACATGGCTGATGAATGTAAACTGGTGCTATTAAAACATGACTCTGTATGAACTCAACACAGCAACACTAACTTGGGTTTAGGTGGTCCACCACCTCAAAAAGTTTGAGAAAAACTCTATCTTTGTTCTGCAGAAGAATGCATCAACCTCCCTAACCAGGCATGGGACACATCGATTCATTTCACACGCACACACACAGATAAACCTGTCAGCTATGAGAATGAACATGAGGGGTGGTTTCACCCAGATGTCATGCCCTCCCCCTAACGCTGTTTTACGACCAACACATGTACATTTCATGCTCTATTCCCAGACACTTCCCTCTTTTTCACATTATGTGCACTACTGTATTATAAATCACTGCTCCATTGAGAATGACAATGAATCGGTTGATTATGTCTGTTTAAAATATGGCTTTTGGAATAAAAGACCATGCTGACCTATTTTTTTATTATGAAATATAACATTACATATTATTACATCAGTGGGCAACCTAGAAAATAGTCCACTTTGTAAGAGTGACAACAACATCAGCAACGGCTTTAGTGAACCGTATTTTAAGTAAATATCGCCCCCTAGTGTGTATAAAGAGATCCTGCATGGCAAAGTTGTTACTGGACAATAACAATCTGCTTTAAAGCAATGACAAATCGAAGAGGTAAAACAATAAACTTTTCTTATTGTCACAAACACTTTCTCAGCAAGCACTTAGTAAAGTTTTCTCTCTATCATACAAGAAATATGAAAAACAAATTGGGGTGGGCTATAAAAGCGATTTTGTTTTGTTTTTTTTACCAGTAGATATTTCCCTATTTGTTGTCTAACATTCTGATGCAAAAAAAAGTATATAAAAAAACATTATAATTAGTATTATTACAATTGGTAGTCATAATGAACATGGAATTATTTCACTAAAACTGTTCTTTCCTTAGGCCTAGGCTATTGGTTGGCCAAAATATGTTATATTGAAAATATAAACAATCAGGATTTCATTTAGACTTTTAAAGGTGTCATTTGAACAGCTAAAATAATTAGCAATGCAAAAACTCT